CCCCCAATGGACCACCCCTTGCTCTCTTCCCTCCACCATTGGTACCGACCCCAATGGACCACCCCCTTGCTCTCTTCCCTCCACCATTGGTACCGCCCCCAATGGACCGCCCCTTGCTCTCTTCCATCCTCCATTGGTACCGCCCCCAATGGACCGCCCCTTGCTCTCTTCCCTCCATTATTGGTACCGCCCCCAATGGACCACCCCCTTGCTCTCATCTGTCCACCATTGGTACCGCCCCCAATGGACCGCCCCTTGCTCTCTTCCCTCCACCATTGGTACCGCCCCCAATGGACCGCCCCTTGCTCTCTTCCATCCTCCATTGGTACCGCCCCCAATGGACCACTCCCTTGCTCTCTTCCATCCTCCATTGGTACCGCCCCCAATGGACCGCCCCTTGCTCTCTTCCCTCTATCATTGGTACCGCCCCCAATGGACCACCCCCTTGCTCTCTAACATCCTCCATTGGTACCGCCCCAATGGACCACTCCCTTGCTCTCTTCCCTCCATTATTGGTACCGCCCCCAATGGACCACCCCTTTGCTCTCTTCCCTCCATCATTGGTACCGCCCCCAATGGACCGCCCCCTTGCTCTCATCTGTCCACCATTGTCACATGTTGATCAGTGTTTGAAAGGCTTTCATTTTTTTTCATGTTTATTGTCTGGCCCCTCTGGAGAATGCAACTCCCAGGGAAAGGGCAGGGCCCCTCTCTGCATCTTCCCCATGAGGTCAGAAGTGCCTGGTGCCAGGTGGAAAGGACCTCAGCACATAGATGACTCTCAAGGGTACAGAAACTGGTGAAAGCCACAGGCCATTCGTGCCATCCCTGGGTGGGGAAGACTGAATCAGAGATGGGGTTGGTCATCTGTACCTTCCACATTGAGACATGGAGTTACAGAGAGGGGCTGGCTGGCAGGAGGTCTCACAGTAAGCAAAGTCTTGGGTCCAAATGGGGGCAGATGGACCCAGAATCCAGAGATCAGGGTTTTCTGAAAGAAGTGGGGAGGGGGCTCCTTGCTGCAACAAGGAATGTAATTTGAAACTGCTCAGCAAGTTGTGGACCACCTGATTAGGTATGCTGAGTCACAAAGGAGCTTCGGCTGGCTGAGCTAGGTCCCTTTGGAGACAACTGACAGAAGAAAGCTAAGAGCCCATCTCTTTCAGTGAGGGGGATTAGGCAGAGGCCGAGGCCTCAGAACCCCCAGGCCCTTCCACCCTTACAGAGACCCAAGAGTGCTCTCCTTAGCAGAAGGGAAGAGCCTACTCCTGGCTGTGAGCAAAAACAAAACAAAATTAATGTTCTCCACTGTATGTGCAGTCACGCTGAGAGGGGGGCAAAGCCCGTGGCGGTTGATAATTTCACAGTGTAAGTCCCAGGAGAGCAAAGGAGCTTTTTTTTTTCTTTTTAATAAAAAGTTTAAATTGTACACAGCTCTCGGAGGCCCATTAACTACCAGGCACTGCTTAGCAGAAGTTATTTCTTTGCTTTTTTTCTAAGCGAATGTGTTTAATCTCCCAGCGGCACCACCGTGCTGAGAAGCAGCCTGTGCCGTGACGCGAGGCTGCTCGGTGTGTCCTCTCTTGGGAGCTAGGGTGACTCAGGCGCTGGCTGGAGCCTCTGACGCAGGTAGAATTGCATTAGGGCCCTGGCAGGGGCCGATGCACGGCCATTAGTGTCACTGATGAGGGCTGGGGCTGGGGGGTTATTACCACTTACAGAGGTGGGCTCTGGGCAGCAACCGTCCACCTCCCTATCTGCTTAGAGCTGGTCACCCACTGCCACAGAAGACAGAAATCATCTGTCCACACTGAAGACCCCTCCTAGTGCCCAGGCAGCCCCCTCCTCTGCTAGCCACTCTTTGGTCATGGCTGCTTTCCCTATAATCCATGCTCAGCCCACTCCTCCCATAGCCTCCGGCCCTTGCTCAGCTGGGCACACGCCCCCATCTTCGTCACATATTTATCGGTAACATCCTGTTTATTCATGTCCTCTTTAGACCCAGCTTCAGAACAGCAGGCCTCCTGCTGGGCCTCCAGTAGGCAGTGTCACCTGGCCCAGTGGGAGTGTAGTAAACACTGGCTGTGTCCTGTTTGGGGGTCCCCGAATGCAGTCATTAAGTGTCAACTATGCCCCCCTCGCGCTGGCTTCAAGCACATATGCTTTGCTTTTTCTAATAAGGTGGGCAGAGCCAAACTCGAGACATGGGAACTGGAGGACACTCTGCTTTCTCTGGACAGTTGTTTCTATGGTACCAAGAGTAAACGTCTGCCTCTGAACAGGTCACAGGGTACTGTTCCAGACACGCCAACTTCCCATAACACAAAACCCAAGGCTACTGAAAGGCCCTGAGCCCCATGAAGGAGTCAAAAGCCGAACTTCCTTAAGTCTCACCGTATAGCTTCTCAGTGGTGGTGTCTGGCAGAGGACTTCGGGCCACCTATCCTGAGTTTATGTCCCAGAAAGCAGCAACGGTACAGACTCACTGAGGAGGATCTCCTCCCAGTGCTGCGGCACTTCCCAGGGGCATTTAGTAATGGATACATCTTAGTTCTGTATCCTTGGTATCTCTTTAATCTTTTAGATGAAGAAAGAAGGTAACAACCAAAGGTGGCCGCCCTGTCTGTTAAAACTAATTGTGCCGCTTTTATAAGAAATGTCAAAGGCCTGAGGAAGAAGGCTGGCTCTCCAACTCTGAACTAAAGAGAGTCATGACCATGTTCCTTTCCCTCCACTTCTTTCAGAAATTCTGATAAATGATGGGGAAATGATTAAAAGGAACAGAGTCTCACGGCTAAATAAAAAAGGAGAATGTTGCCAATAAGAGGAGAGTAAGACTAGGCTGTAGATGGTAGCTCATCCCTGACAGTAGGCCTCAGAGAGTAGGAGCTAATAGGTGGCCAGGGGGAGGCTCAAAGCAAGCTCATGTACCACAAGTCAGGGCTTAGAGAACTGGCCGCCTGGCTGGCTCAGGAGCCAACAGAGCAGAAGGGCTGGCGGGCACATTTGTGCAGTGTTTCTAAGTCTGTAAAAGGGACGGTACCACTCAAGCCTCTCCCCGGCCCAGCAAAGAACCAAAAGTTCCGTCTTGGGATCTTTGGATTCAGCGACAGCCAGGAGCAGAGGATCATACTCGAAAAAATATGGGCTGTGACCAAAACCCTGCATGCTAAAGGGTGAGCACGCGGCCTTCTGCTGTCCTTGGCTTCCACAGAGGCAGTAGCCAAGAGCTGCCAAGCAGCAGATGTAAGATTAACCTCTTAAACACTGCATAGGTCTGCTAGGCCACAAAAAGCACTGAGTTTGACCCTTAGCACCACAGAAAACAAACCAAACCCTACCTTTCTTTCCCCAGCTCTTCTGGCAGGGGGGGGGGGGGCGACGACAATTGTTATTATGTCTCTAATGGGGAAACAATCTCTATCTGCTAAACATGTTGATGAGTGAGGCAGGAGGGCAGGAGTTCAAGGCCAGCCTTTGCCACATAATGAGCTGGAGATTACCTAACACCACACACCATAAACTCAAAAGTATATGCATATAGCCAACGGTGCATTGCACAGGTGTGTGTATTCATGAATACACACACAAATAAGTTGCTTCTCACAAATAAAAACGGGGAAATAAAGAAATCTTGAAATTCTAATATGCAAGAGG